GGGCTTGGTTAGTGGATATGTATTGCTTGAATCTAGTTTTGTCATGGGATATCTTGTTTGTTTTCTACATCTATAGTGATTGCAAGCTTTACTAGGTATAGTAATCTGGGCTGACATCCATGGTCTCTTAGTGTTGGTAGAATATCTATCTAGGACCTTCTTTCTTTCAGAGTTTCCATGGAGAATTCAGGGGTAATTCTGAAATTCTGATAGGTTTGATTTTATATGTTACTTGACCTTTTTCCTTAGCTGCTCTTAAAATTCTTTATTATGTATATTTGGGGTCTTGATTATTATGTGGCGAAGGGACATTTTCTGTGGTCCATTCTATTTGGTGTTCTGTAAACTTCTTGTACCTTAATTTGCATGTCTTTCTTTAAGTTGAGAAAGTTTTCTTCTACAAATTTGTTGAATATGATTTCTGCCCCTTTGAGGTGGCTTTCTTCACTTTCTTCTATGCCTATTATTCTTAGGTTTGGTCTTTTCACGGTGTCCCATGTTTCCTGCATGTTTTGTATTGGGATTTGTTGGACTTCAGATTTTCTTTGGTTGATGAATCCATTTCTCCTAGTGTATTTTTATCACCTGAGATTCTCTCTTCCATCTCTTGTATTCTGTTGGTTATTCTTGCATCTGTAGCACCTGACCAATTGTCCAGCTTTTCTATTTCCAATATCCCTTCAGATTATGTTTTTTTTATTGTCTCTATTTCAGTTTTCAACCCTGGCACTGTTTGAATTGTTTCTTGCAATTTTTGGTTTATTTTTCGTCCATTTGTTGCCTTTTATGAATTTTTGGGTTGTTCTTTCTTCCACTTTTTGCATTTCTTGGTTTGCCTTTTCTTCCATTTGTTGCACTGTTTGTTTTTTTCTTCCATTTCTTGCATTTTTTGGTTTGTTTTTTTTTCTTCCATTTCCTGCCTTTTTAGGTTTGTTTTTTCTTCCAGTTCTTTGAGGAATTTTCCTATATTCTCTTTTAGGGCCTCTATCATTTTCATGAAGTTGTTTTTAAGGTCATCCTCTTCTGCTTCATTTACATTGGAATGTCAGAGTCTTGCTCATATGGTGTTTCTATCATCTAGCAGTGTCATATTTGTTTTTCTGTTGCTGAGTGTGTTTTTGTATTGTCTCTTTCCCATCTCTTTTTCTAGTGGTTGAAGAAAGAGACCCTTACTGGTCTGGTGTTTAGGGGAGATCCCTTTTGGTGGGTGCAAGCAGGTCCAATACTCTGGTAGTTCTCCTTTTCCTGGTTCTAGTCCTTTTCCCGTGGGTGGAAAAATCCAGGAATCTGGGGTGCATAGGCTCCAGCTGGGAGGGGAGGCTCTCTAGCAGTCCCCATTCAGTCCCCAGGCACTGGAAAGCAGGCCAGGATACAGGGTTCCAGGTACCTGGTTGCTGGTCTTGGTGGAAGAGAAGACCAGCAATCTTTGGTGTGTGGCTCCTGCTGGGAGGGTAGGCTCTGTCCTCACTAAATTTCTTTCTTTCTTTCTTTCTTTCTTTCTTTCTTTCTTTCTTTCTTTCTTTCTTTCTTTCTTTCTTTTTTGGTTTTTACGAGACAGGGTTTCTCTGTATTGTTTTGGAGGCTATCGGTCTAGCCCGGCCTCAAACTCACAGAGATCTGCCTGCCTCTGCCTCCCAAGTGCTGGGATTAAAGGCGTGTGCCACCACTGCCCGGCTAAATTTCTTAAAAGTACCTTGACTTTAGCAATGTCTTGAATCAGCCACTCATGTGCCACTATATCCAATGACTTTCCCAGTTATTAATTGAAAGCACAGTAAGGGAAATCTCAAAGATATAGAAGATTTCAATACTATTATTAGTCAGCCTGAACCAGGAAAAATTGCTGATCTCTATCCCCAAGCATAGTTAAATGAGTATTATATTCAAAAACACAATGAGTCTTAACTGAAACAAATGTATATGTTAAGCCTCAAAAAGAAAATCAACACATTAATTTGATTTCAGTTTTATTATAGATGAATACGTTTCTTTGCACATTTGTACCTTTTATTATCCATTCATGTACTCATAGACACACGGTTATATTTTGATTCTCATTATGGTAAATAGTTCATCAATAAACATGGATGTGGAGGCATATCTATTTTACGATGATTTACATTTGTTCAGGAATATACCTATGGCAGGAGTGGTTAAATCATATGATAATTTCATGTTTTCCTGAGAATCCTCCATAATACTGAAGTATACAGCAGCCATATCAGGTTGCACTCCCTCTAGGTGCAAATACAGCTTGCTCTTTCTGTTCTGTTTTGCCATCATTTATTTTTATGTTTTTGCTTATACATCCAAAAGCCACAAAAGATCATGTTAAAGTCAGCAAATAATTTCACAAGAACACAGGTGTGGGGTGAGCCCACAATACTGTCCACGCACAAAAAGGGGTGTAGACAGGGGACGGGTACAGGTGAGGATAAAAGGAAACAAAAGCAAAAGTTCTCAATCTTGGAAGCTTGCCATGTTTCTCATCTTCCCAGCTTGTGTATAAGTTCTTTCTCCTGTTAATAAAAATATTTGTTTCCCTATTGCATTGATTCACTTACACACAGGTTATTGATTCTGTGGAATGTCCTTTATCTTTAATTATATTCATTCAATTAGAAGAGAATGTATAACGGTTATTCTTCTGCTCCATGTTGCCATGCTAAGGATGGTGGAGCTAAAAACACCCTTAAGATTTTTTCCTGGCTGAAGCTGTGTTTCCCATGGGTCACATAGCACAGCTGTAACTTCTTGTTCTATTGTTCTTCCTCTTACACAATTTCAGGCATTTTCTATGATGCTTCAAATATAAGTATTATGTGATAACAGTTGTATCATTTAACTAGGAAAGTTTATGTTTTAACTAGAGAGCTATATATGCAGATTGTGTGTCTTTTACACCATTATAAATGACAACATGCTCATTCTCCTTTCTGCTGATTTTGAGGATGAATTATGAATTCCTGGGACTTTCATTCATAGTGGTGCCAAAGGAAGATGATGTGGTGTCCTATGAGCTCAAATTCCTTAACATCAGACTTCCTGGCTCCAAAGCTGTGGGCAAGTTAATCTCCATTATTTTTATCCAGTAGGTTGTAGTTAGTTCACTTTTAATCCCATACCAAAGAATCTAATGCACCAGAGTGGAAATTGGATTTGTGGGAGAAACAGTAACTAAGGAATATCTGTTAGTTTTTCTATTATGCATAAAAGAACATGGAAATGTTGTTCTCTTTGTCTCTTTGCTCTTCCCCTACATACAGTGTAAACACATGTTTAACTGATCCAGACTTTGCATTTGTAAGATCCCAGTCTTCATGGGTCCAATCTGAATGAGGAGCGGTCAGTGACATGAAAGCAGAATCTGATCTCATTGTAGCTGTCACAAAGCAAAGTACAGAGTTTAGCAAAGATCGTGGAGCACAGCACAACTTGTTAGACACTGACCTTGAGTTTGGGAACTTCCTTAATTTACATACTATTTTCTTCCCTTTAGAATGGTGTGTTAGCATTTTACAGAGGAGATATGATTATGCTTATCAGAAATAATGCATCATTTTGTACATGAAAAGTAGATGTACATCTTTATACACATAATGCAAATGAAATAGGAAATTCATGTTACTTAAATGCATATTTAATACTTATTAATATTCTTGGCTTAATGTTAAAATGTTAACAGCAGATAATTACTTTGCTTTGGATATGAAAGCCATGAGTTGTCTTGTAACTATTTAGCTAATGTGGTACATTTTTGAGCGATTGTCTCTATGTATAGATTAGACTGACCTAGAACTTGTACTTCAGACTGACCTCAGATGCATAATCCTCCTGCTTCTGTTTCTCCATTTCTGTGATTATATATGTGATACTCAGATTCGGCTTCATTTATCTATTTTCCTACTTCTTGTACTTTATACATAATACTGGATTATAATTTGATTCTTATATGTACTTTCAAAGTTCAGCAACCTAAAGTTCAGACATGTCCTGTGTTTTGTCTTATTGCTATTGATTTTCATTCTTATTTAAACATTTTTCCTCCTTTGAATGCGAACAACCTCTGATGTTGTCTGCTGGTCTTCCTAAAATTGTTTGATTTAGGATTGCTGCACCATTTTCTGGAAAGATTTTTACCTGTTCACTCTGTCAGAAAGATAATCTTAATCTGGTTTCAATACTGCTAATTTTCATAATGTCCTAGAATATGCATTTTTGGAATAGACACACTTAGCCATAAGTTCTTATAGTTTTGGTTGTGAGCCTAGTCTATAATGGCTGAGCCAACTCTCCAGCCCCATCCATGTTTTCTTGAGAAAATCAAGTTTTTTTATTCCCCTTCTATTTCCTCAAATTTAGAGTCCTATTTCAGTTCCCTGAAGTTGTGGGGAGGTTAATTGTTAGTATGTGGTAGGTTACTTTTGCTTTGAGATAAGGCTTCTTTCATCTCAATCTTAAATTAATGTTCCAAAGGATTTCCACAGAGTGAATTTGGGCTGTTCTTTGTATTTCTGTCTCTTGTTTCATATGGAGCCCCATTTTCATTGCCTTCAGTATAAGTAACTTTACAGATAGATAATAATGAAAAAATAGCCTCATAGTCTCCCTTTGTCTCTCTCTCTCATATTTTTTCTCTCTTCATCCCTCAACCCTTCCTTTCTTTTATTGCTGCTTTCTTCTCTATTTTTTTGTTTTGAATTGTTGGACATATTTTTTCCATTTCTCTGTTTCTGTTAATCTGAGATAGCTTTCCTGACATTTCTGCAAAAGCAAACTTCATTAAGCATGTCTTAGATTTTAACCCAAATTTGTGGTTAGAGTACCTAATAGAGTTATGCTTGCGAGCTGAAAGCAGATATCATTCAGTGTTTGCTTACACTCCCTGTGAGAGTATTTTTGTCTGTTGATTGACACCAGCCATTCACCCACAGTGCTGAGACATTTCCTTATAAATTTGCTGACTGCTTTGCATGAGCCCCTACAGCCCAGCCCAGCTGTTCAGTGTTTATAATTCAGACCTTTGAAGTGAGACCAGAGTTTCATCAGACAGGCATGGGCGTCAAGATGGAATCACAGACCCAGGTCCTCATGTTCCTGCTGCTCTGGGTGTCTGGTGAGAAATTTACAATGAGTTATAGGACACAATATGTTTCACACTATTGTGTAAGAGATACACTCTGACAAAATGACATTACAAGGATATTAATAAAAATTTCTACTTTTACAGTATTCTGTGTTTGCTATTATGCATCTTCATCATATATTCCTGTTTGCAGGTGCCTGTTCAGATACCGTGATGACTCAGTCTCCATCCTTCCTCTCTGAGTCAGTCGGGGCGAAGGTTACTATCAGCTGCAAGTCCAGTCAGAATCTTTTATACAGTAAAAACCAGAAGAACTACCTAGCATGGTACCAGCAGAAACCAAGACAAGCACCTAAACTGCTGATCTACTGGGCATCCACTCGGCACACTGGGGTCCCTGATCGCTTCACAGGCAGTGGGTCTGGGACAGATTTCACTCTCACAATCAGCAATATTCAGGCTGAAGACATGGGAGATTATTACTGTTTCCAGCATTATTACATTCCTCCCACAGTGATTCAACCTCCATCAAAAACTTCCTCTGTGAGGCTCACCATCTGCCTGCAACAGCCCTGACCTGCACACTTCTCCTTCTTCCTGAAGCCAGAATGTCTGAAATACTGACAAAACAGTTTTCAGAACCAGGCAAAATACAACTGTTTCTATGTCTCTATGTCTTTTGTTATGGAAAAACATTATACAAAAATGCAAAGGAGAACTCATTATTATCTTTCTATTCCTTCTGTTACACACTATCGCAAACTCTGTTGCTTGAATATGAGGAATTTAGTTTTTGAAGTTCTGGAGTTCTGATGCCCATCATGAGACTCTTTGAACTGAAGTCATAATGACAAAATGTCTTTCACTTTGAAAGGTCTAGGAAAGAGTGATTTTTGCTTTTTTCTAGTATCTAAGGACTTTAGTACTCCCTCCTTACCAGTGTCCATTTCTTTTGTGTTTTCTTTTACATTTTGTTACATTTTAGTTAATTAATTATATTTTCTGTGTTCATGTGTGTGTGCATTTGTGTGCATGTGAGTGCATGTTTCTAGATGCACATGTGACATGGTATAATTGTGGAAGTCAGAGGACAGCTTGGACTTAAATGTCCATTTCTTTGTCGTTTCTGGGGTTCAACCTCAGGGTTGACATCAGGCTTAATATCAATTATGTTTGGCATGTGAACCATCTTGCTGCCCTGCAGTGAGATATGCACCCAGCCCACACCTGTATCACTGACCATACCAGTTTAGGAGTTGACACAAGTGCAGACATAAGTTTAGGTCTGGGGAAGGTAGTTCTGTAGCATTTGGTTGGGTCACAGATAGCAGCCCGTGTGGATCTTTAGAGTGGAAACTTGTTGGGTCCATCTGCTTCTTGTGTAAGTGACTTTCCCCCAAAATAAATTATATTTAACCTATATTTGAGCCTAGTCCCGTGAGTCTTTATCCATGCCTCCCCATCTGGCTTCCACTAGTTTTCACTCCGCTGGCAGACTGTCTGTGCTGCAGTTGCTTAGTCCCATCCCCCTGCTAGGGCACTCGGCCCTGGTACCTCCCACTGCTGCCAGCACTACGACTTACCTGCACATGCACACCACCCCCATTGAGCACCTGCTCCGTTCCTCCTTTCCTAGGAGCTGGTGCAGTGGTCGCTGCAGTTTCACCGCTGCGCACACATGGACACGATTTTGATTTGATTGTTCTGATACTGTTTCATCCCACTATTACACACATGTCCACCAGTGATGCTACCACGGTGATCACTCAGTTCCCTGTACTTGCCATTTCCGTGGGTGCCCACGGTTTGGGTGAGGTTAGTTTTCCTCCTCCTTTTTACAAAATCTCACATGTTTTGAATTTATTGAGAGTTGCTTAGAATTCACAGGTTCCACTTCGGACCAGGGGACCATCCTGCTGCTGGATTCTATTTGGCAGTACACCTTTGCCACCTGCTGGCCAGCCACAGTTACTAGAAGTTGAGATCTACAAGTAAAAGTGAACATCAAAGTTCCAGGACAAAGAATATACTGAAGGCAATTACTTCATTCTTTATATTTTAAGTTAACAATAATAAATAAGATTAACTACTTTATACCTTACAATGCAGTAAGTTAGGAATCTTTTTGTTTCTATATGAATGGAATTTTTGAAGACGTTTCTGACCTACCTGAAATACAACTATTCTTAATGATGGCAATTTGTTTCAAAATCCATATACTATCCTTAAAGAAAGGGTTTGAGAATAGAGTGAAAAATAAGGAATTTAAAGAAACCATACAGATTTTACAGACAAATAATGAGAACATAGAGAAAAAGGACAATGGATATCTGACAAACAGAATGCAAAATATGAAACACAAAAATGACCAAAAAACAGGAAAAATTTGTTCCATGTCTAGTTACTTGACAAATAAAATAGAAGACATGGAACTTAACATTGAAATACTATCAAGAAAATGTGTTCCATGTCTAAAGACTCAACACAGAGAATAAAAAAAATGGAGCATAACATTGAGATAATTACCGAAAAAAAAATTGTTCCATGTCTGAATATTTGGCAAATAAAATACAAAGACTAGAACTTAAGATTGAAATACTAGCAGAATGAATTCATTCCATGTCAGAGACTAATGACAAGCTATAAGATAGAACATTATTTCTGGAAGGCAGTTTACATTCCATTCAGATACTATCTAAGTATGAGAATATTAAATGTTTAGAATCATATGTAAATCAAGAAAACAATAAACTGATTCAGGGGGGGTAGGATAGGGGGGAGAGGGAATCAGAGGTTAGAAGACAGATCAGACACCATTGTGACCTCTAGTGATCTAAAGGGAAGACACCAATCAGCAAGCTAAGCAACAGTGTAGAGACAACCCCGAATGCCCATTCCTGATAATGAACTTGATGTCTATAACCATCCTGGAGCCTTCATCCAGTGACTGATGGAAGCAGAGGCAACAGCCACAGTTGAACACTGAACTGAACCCAAGGAACCCAGAGACACAGAGAGAGAGAGAGAAGCGATGAGCAAATTGGCAAAGAATGGGCTGGCAAAACTAGCAGAGACAGCTGATCCAAACAAGGGAGAGCTCTTGGACCCCAGATTGACAGCTGGAAGGCCAGCATGGGACTGATCCAGCCCCCCCCTGAGTGTGAGAGTCAGTGAGGAGGCCTGGGCAACCTATGGGGTCCTGAGCAGTGGATCAGTGTGTCCACAGACATCGTGTGTCCATAACACAAAGAGGAATGCTCTCTCAGCCTGGACTCTTAGGGGAGTGCCTGGACCCTGCCCTGAGTGAAATGACAGCTCTAGATATTCCCTATGTGGAAGGAATTGGCAATATGGTGGGAGGATGGGGGGGGATGATAGGGGGTGCGGGAGGAGGGGAGGGAGAGGTAACTGGGATTGATATGTAAAACAGGCTATTTAAAATTAAAATAAAAATGTATGAAAAAAAGAAAACGGTATGGATCTTTCCATGCATTGTAAGAGAAACACACATCTCTGGAGTCCCTACATTCTACACTGGTGCAAACAAATCAGGTAGGGCAGTACATGAATCAGGAATTATAAGTAAAGTATTTCAAAGTCCTTATAATTCTGTACAAAAAGCAGAGTTGTATGCCATTTTCATGGTAATTATGGATTTTACAAAACCTCTCAATATAGTTGTCGACTCAATATGCAGAGAGCGTTGTCTTACACATTGAGACTACTGAATTTATTCCTGATGATATAGAATTAACTTCATTGTGTATACAATCACAAGAAACAATCAGGAATAGTCCTCATCCTATATATAACACACATGAGATCCCATATGGGCCTGCCAGGTCCTCTAGCACAAGGCCATGATGAAATTGATCATTTATTAATTGGAAGTGTGCTGGAGGCCTCAGAATTTCATAAAAACACCTAGTGAATAACAAAGGTTTAAAAAAGGATTTTTCCTTCACTTGGCCACAAGCTAAGAAAACAGTAAAAAAAAAAAGTGTCTTAATTGTTCCTTCTATAACCAAACTAGTTTACCAGCAGGTAGCACCCATAGAGGTAACATAGAAATGAAATCTGTCAAGTGGATGTGTTCTATTTGTGGAACTTGGGAAATTGAGATATATGCACCATACAATAGACACATTTTGGGTTTCACTGGGCCACTGCTGTGGGCTCTGACAAGGCTGATTCTGTTATTACATAACTATTAGAGGCAATGACTATTATGGGTATACCTGTGGTAATTAAAGCTGGCAGTGCTCCAGCACATGTCTCCAGCAAAATGAAACAGTTTTTTAAAAGTTTATAACATAAAGCATATAACTTGTATACCACACAATCCTACAGGGGAAGCAGTGGATGAGAGATCTAATCGCACTTAAAAGGAAATTCTCTATAAACTGGCAGGGAGAACAAAGTCCACACGAATACAGATTACATAATGCTTTACTAACATTAAAATTTTGTAATTCTTATGAGACAGGAAAAAAAGCCACAGAAAGACACTAGACAATAGAAAAAACTTCTGAACTAACTCAGCCATTGTACTTCAATTGTGTATTGACCTCAGTTTGGAAAGCTGAATATGTGTTACAATGGGGTAGATGCTTTGCCTTTGATTCTACAGGAGAAGAAAAGCTTTGGATACTATCAAAGTTGATCAAGATCCTGTTTTAACAGGAAAAACTTCTTGATGAGGAGAAATGATAGGTCATCCAACAAGGTATATCCTACAACTTGTATGGAGAACTCACAAAGGTAGGGGGAGTGTTTTGTTCTTGTCTTTACAGGAAAACCCATCTTCAAAAAGCAAATATACACCAAATGTGTAGATGCCTAAAGAAGAAAGGATAGCTATCCAGAAAGAACCATCATACAAAGTATATCGTTTATACTAAACTCTTGTCTTAGGTTTCCCTGCTTCCAAGAACTGTCACAGTCTCTATTCACATAAAAAACAAACCTGGCTTTGGAGTTGGACTTGACCCTCGTTCTCCAAATCCAAACATGTTGTTTAAATAAAATTTACAGTTTCTGTCTCATATCAATAGACCACTGGTTTAAGACAGAAGAAACCAAAAATCTAGGACTACTCTTTTCTTAAGTCTGTTTTCTCTAAAATCCAGATCTTCCTCATTTTTAATTTCATCCTTATTGTTACCTTTCCCTGTAACTTTCTGCTTCACTGGCAATAGGTCTTAGATGTGTTTATTTTTACCTTTCCTTCTCACAGAGCATACTTGATATTTGCTATGTTTGCATATAGTTTTGTATCTAGCCTAAATTTTTCTTTAGATTAAAAGGGGAATTGTAGTAAGATATCCACCTTCCTGCATTTTTAGCACTGACCACTCCTGTTTGGGTGTGGTCACAGGTGCAGACATGATGGAGAGGGAGTTTAGGTCTGGGGTCTCGGCAGTTGGCTCTCTCTTGTGTACAGTTGGGCCACGGGGAGCAGCCTGTGGGAATATTTAGAGTGGGGACCTGCAGCAGCCATCTGCTTCTTGTATAAGTAACTTTAACCTATATTTGAGTCTAGTCCCATGAATCTTTATCTGTGCCTCTGTACTGGCCCTAAAATTGTTTTC